AATTGGGCGTTCTACAATCGTCAAAACAGCGGGTTAGCAATCTCTGGGTATGCTGTGTCTCATCGCAAAAACAGTACGGAATTCCAAATACATCTGTAGTATCTGTACGAAATATACGACTTTCCGTACGAGATAACTTAATAATGTATTTACAATCCAATCGGTACAATACAAATTATATCCAATACGTATACAAATTAAATCCACAAATTACGCACTTTGCTTCAAATAATTCCTGGTAAAAAACATTCTGTATACAGACTGTTTTTTATAGTTGATATCTTTGCGAGAATAAAGATATTAATAGTATCAAACGAATGGTAATCTTAATTCTCTCATATAAATAATGTAATTATAATAAATTTGGTTATTGGGAATTTAAATATAAAAAACATAACTTAATAATATTGAAATTTATCGCGCACATATATAGTACAGCGTTAATTCCCAATAGCCAAATTTATTATAATTACATTTTTTAATAGTATTAATTAATATCTTTAAATAAGAATAAAGATATTAATTTTAATTGGAAGAAAAAAGAAATGTGCAAATATAAATAATGCGTAACTATATAATATTTTAAATAAAGAAAATAGAAGCTGTAGGATGTATGTAACTTGTCTAAAAAAAATCTATATATAAGCAAATATATACCTATATAAATATATGTAAAATATCTCTATATTACATTTTTTTATATATAATCTTCTCTTTATATATATATATATATATATATATATACAGAAAAAAATATTAGAAAAATAATATTTGCATTATTTTTTTTTAAGCTAAACTAAAATTTCTTCCACGGTCTTTTGAGCTACAACATTGTGCAATTTATTTTTAAATTGCGTTGAATTATTTTTGTACATAATATCTTGCGTAATTCACGATCAAGTGTAATATTTTTTAAGTAGACAGAACGATAATGAAAATGTATAGGTAATACATTTTAGCGCAGTAGGTTGAAAATAGATTGATAGTCATCGAGAATATCCAAAGTCGATAAACGCGCGTCTGCAAATAGATTCCAAGAGATTACGAATGAGCCTGTCATAAACTTGTCGTCATATTTCCTAGTATTGAAGAGGTATTTTCCCCCGAATATAGTTTATCTTTACGTCATCAAGAATGTTTGAAGCAAGTTAATGCAAGAAACCGTTTGATTTATTATCTAACAGTATCCTCGAAGTTATGAACGTAGAATTTCCTCAGAAAAGTAAATTGTGCGTTCTGTCAACTGGACTTTAAACGTAAAGAGTGCTACGAAATTTATCAGGTAATAGCAACATTTGAATTAGTATTCATCATATTCATAATGGATTAAGTATCCACTGTTTTGTGAATATTAATTTATATATAAACAATTAATTTAATTAGAATTATAAATCATAAAATTATTTATTTATGATTAAATAATTTACGAATTATTAATATTTTTATTTATGAAATTACCTCTCCCCCTTCCTCCGAATTTCATTTTCCGTTCTATTCTTTATGTATTGTTGAGACAAACAGACTTTTTACGTAGTTGAAAAATTTAATTATTATTACAAACGTTTTTATTTTATTAAATTATTGTATTTATAATATATTTGGTATTTGAAAAAAAAACAAATTTTTGAACGATATTTCGATTCGTGACATTTTGTTCAATATTTTAGTGGTTATTGCAAAATTGCAATAAATTTAAATAAATATATCTACATTTAAAAGAACGATTTTTTTCTAACCAATATTCGTTATCGTTAAATATTATTTTTACAAACTATTGCATTCTGCAATATTCGTATTTTTTTAGATAAGTTGAGTTTTTTTAAATAAGTTGAGTATGCAAGTAACATGCTAAAATGAATTAATAAAAAATTTAACAAAAGCATTCCTATATTAATTCTATATACATTTCTTTATATAATCTTTCCGAGCGAGGGAAGTCTTTATACATCGCATATAAGGAAAATTAACAACAATTCGAGGGCGATAAAGCGGAAGACAAAACGTGGACAATTTCGAAAACAATGCCCTGGGAACAATGATATATACATACATGTAATAATACATTCGCGTTAAATCATTTGTCATCCGTTATATCTTAATTAAAATTCTAAATCGAACAACGAAGAGAAAAAGCGTAATAAATGATAATAACGTGAAAGTCGGATAAAAGAACTAATATCGATCTTTTAATCGTATATTTGTCTTTTTTTTTCTTTGTCATTGAAAACATTGTCAATTTCGCGCACGATTACTTCTATTTTGTCCGATAGCATCGCTTTTATTAATTTTCCATTATTCATCCTTTTGTGCGTTGTGAAGAAAATATTGCATTATTGAGACGAATAGAGACTATAGAAAGATCTTACCTCTCATATGAAGTTAGAACGGATCTTGAAAGTAAGAACCTTTGTTCTCCTCTGTTCAGCGACGTGGGTGTACGGGACGACATTATTCAGAATTGTGTAATTTGTATATTACACAAAGAAAGTAATTAAAGTTTTTAAGTACACACCATCATAATTAGTTTCAAAGTACTTGAGGTATTGCTACGAGTTAGGTAATTACGAGTCTGGCAATTTTTACAAACGCAAAGAGACACGAAGATTAATACAAACCACTCAAACCAGAAAAGTTATTCTAGAACGAGACAGCTTAGATTAGAAGCGTAACGTCCCAGTGATTGCACTGTTAAATTCATAATATCAAAAATTATACTCAATTTATAGTTATTTTCAATCATTCGTGTAGATTGTTATTGTTTTTATATTCAATATGTCGTTAATTTAATTAAAACAATGGAGTTAAATTATTTAACTGAAGAAACGTATTAATTTGACTCAAATTTAGTTTATTATTTATTAAATTAATATGAACGTCATTTATTTTGAAAGGATTTGAAGCAATTCACGACCACAGAAATGAATTGATGTAGTTTTTTTAACCACGTGTTGTGCATTAAAATAATACACTTTGATATACTTGGAAATAAAAATAACAAAATGTTATTTATGTTACGGATTTAATTTGATATTGATTTGATTTGATCCTTTAATATCTAATAATGTGGCCATTCATTAGTTTAATTTTAATTATCAATTTTTCAATATTAAAAAAACGCGAGTCACTTATCGTTAATTTTACCATCCAGTAAGGGAAGAGCACGATAAGATGCAACTTTGTGACATATGTTGCGCGATATATTGAAATTCTAAATGGGCATACCAAGTTTCTGCTTTACTATGATCTCATTGATTATTTTAAATTCCTTTTATGCGTATTCCTTAAAATTTGTATGAAGAGAGAATAAATGCGTTAAACTTTAGTTAGAGCATGTTCAAATTCTCACCCAAATACTTCCCTTCAGATATCATCCAAGGATATCATGTTATCCTTATTTAACATTCGATGAGTAACAAGAATAATATGACACTTAGGTGGCATTCAGGTAGGAATCTAACCACCTACATCTACTTTTAAATACATTAAATCGTTGCTGTATATATTTTTGGATGCATTAAACGTTTATTGCATGTAATTGTTGGGTAATTGCATTGATAAGTATATTTATTTTTCGCAGATAATTTTTGAATAAGATTTTTATAGAGTTTTCAAGATCTTTTTTTATAGTGATATACTTGGCTAATTGTATTGATCTCATACTTATTTTTGAACAGTTAATATTTAAATAAATATAAGTTCTTTTTTTAATTTCTATTACATATTTTTGAATGAATTTATATACTTGGAGTATCTTTTTTACCTTTGTAACGTCTTTTTTTAGGATTTTTGCTCTTTTTACAGAATTTAGAGAATATTGCTTCCTGTTTTGGTTTTCAACTTTTATTACACAAAATATAAATAATAAGGAGCATGCAGCCACAACACAAAATGTATTTAGCGAAAGTGAGGAATATTAAAAAAAGTTATTTCAGTAATAAGTAGACGTTTCGATCAAGTCTTGACCATTATGAGTACAGTAAGATATACGAGTAAACGATGTTAAAAACATTAAAAAGAATATTAACAATTATTCGCAAGTTCAGAATTGACGATGATAAATTTACATTCTCTTATGAAACGAATTGACAATATTGTAAATCCAGAATTGAAGATGACAAAATTACATTCGCTTATGAAATGAAATTTTAATGCGATATAAATTCCTTGTTACTTTATGAGACTTTGAGTGAAAAATATAGAATTTCCAGATTCTAGTTAGATTTAAGAAAAAAAAGAACAAATTTTTTTATATACTACTTTTTGATGCATTCTTGACAATAAAAATCGATTTGGATTTATAGTCGAATTATAACTTACCACGTTATTGTATGATACAAGTCCTCGCAAGTATAATTCAGAGTTTTTAATGTAAATTAAACAAGTCTTGAAAAACTTTTTTCTCTGAGAACTATTCTTGACAAAATGTGATGGCCGCATTTTGCGACAGTCTTTATACGTTATGTGAGGAAAGGAGAGGGAAAAAAGTAGAGAGAAATAATTTATTGGTGAGTAGAGTTTTATTACACATACTTTTGAATACGTACAACTCATTATTTTTCACAGACATATTTTATTTTATTTACTTTACAAAGAATATGCATTTTTAATGCAGTTTTAGTATTTTGAAGCTAATTGAATTTTTCCATATTGAAATAATTTATTAGTACCTCTTGTATACATACTTGTCTACATCTTAGTACGTTTAGTCATTTTCAATATTGAAATCACCGCTACTGCGTTGCTTAATATGACGTCGCAACAAAAAGAAAAAAAGAATTGTACGCTTTGGCTAGGTAGGGAAAAAAAGTAGATTCGGAATTTAGAAAAAGGAACCGCGAGTAGATATATTGCGTAAAAAGCGAGGGTGAATCCGTACCGATGAAGTGAAGGTGGGAGACGATCTTGTCGTTAACGACGACAGCGTGGGGATAGAGAGGGCGGTAACGCGGGTATATATTCTCGATGCAGTCGAGACTAGCTACAGTTCATTAGGAGGCAAAATCGGCGCAAGAGGAAAGAGCGAGTATACGCGACACGCGATTGTATCGAGTTGGAAGTCTGTATCAGTGATAGAAAAGGCAGAAAGAAATAATCCTCTCGGTAAACGTGCGAGATATAGAGAGGGAAGAGGCAACAAGTGTGTGACAATCGGTGTCAGAACTAAATTACTCGTGGTATAAACGTAGGCGATTATCTTTAATTAGCTTTCACTCGTTTCACATTAATTAATTGTGGTGCGCGTGAAGATGAATCTATCAGTCAGCACGCCGATTGTATGCGTTCTGCTCGTGACTCTGCTGTCGGAGACGGCGCACGCCAGGCCGCCACAGTGGCTTCTGAGGTAGAACAATTTTACTAAAGTATCTAAAAACTTGGTTATATATTTTCAGATAGATCTGAAAATAATTTTGTTGGACTGTCAAAGTAATTATATAGGATGCACAACTTGGTTCCTGAAATATCAAATCTTTTTGCAGCATTACTCACTATACTTTTGTTCTATATATAATTATTTTGGTAATTCAACATAATTATTTTCAAATCTGTATCAATTAAATTTCTAGATTTTCTTTTTTAGACTTCAGCAAAATCTCTTTTTTATGTAGTAATGACAACTATAAAAATGGCAACTATATAAGTTTTATATTTAAAATTAAGTGATTGTGCGCGTTTATGAATACATCTGAAAAAATGAATGATACATGCAATTCTTATCCAGCAACTTCCAGTAATAATTACATAGTATAATTGAAAAATAATAAAAATAAATTAATGTACACATAAAACTTGTATAGTTGTTACCTTTATAGTTTTTCTCTAAATACAATTAATACTTACTATTTTTTTACCTTTTCCATTATATCGTCTTTCCAATGTCTTCTCTAATATTAAGTTCATTTAATCTTGGTCTTTATTGCACAATATGTTTATCTTAAACCTTCTTCTAAAGTACAAACGGATGAAAATCAAATTAGATCGAAATTCTAAGGCAGATCGCGCATTCAACTATCAAACGATAAGTATAAGATCGTGTCGTTTGGAATGTCGTGAGGCAATTCGTGAAATTATTGCGATATCCTGATTTCTTCACGATCAATGAATTTCAAATTCAACGTCGATTTAGTTTTTACGTCGTCAATCATTCTTGTTCGATTGATATTACTTCGTTTCTAGCGTAAAATTGGATTTATTTGAAATAATACGATCTCATTTCATTTCGTTATCACGTAATAGCGATTGGCTGTGCGAATAATTTCGCATAGATATATATATATATATATAGCAATACGGAAAATAATGTTGAGTGTAATAGATTGAGATCCCAACAATTTTAATTTCTGTCCACGAAGACAAAGTGACTGACTTCTTTTCTGAAATCTCCGAATACGATGATAATATGTTTGTTAAACATATAGTCGAGACTTTGTCGCGCGCTCTATCTAATCTGTGCGTCGCACAGTGGACCAGAATCGATTCTAGTCTGCCAAAAGTAAAAAAATTAAGTGATGGCATTTTTGTTGTAAACGTTTAAATTAGCTTATATAGCTATAAATTCTCTTATAGTCATAGTGAATATTTGAATAATTATTTCAATTAATTCCTAATTATTTCAATTACTTTTAAAGATTAAAAAAAAAGTTTATACTATATATTTATATTATATTTTCATTTATATTAGAAGCTAATTTAATCATATACAACAAAAAATACAATAATTTGTTTTTTTACTTTTGGCCGACTAGAATCGATTCTGATCCATTGTGCATCGCATACACTTAAAAGATTAGCGCGCACATTAACGGATACATTTTTCTGTCTTCAATGTGTCAAAATTAAAATTATCTTGAGTATAATCGATTGTTGACGGTCACACGCGAATTGGGATTTTCATGAAAAATAATCCCCAAAGAAAGTAGTGATTTCATGTATATTGACATTTTTCAAACGATTCTTATTAGAATATTTTATAAAATTTTCAATTTATTGCAGTCGGCAGAAACGCCTTTCTGATCAAAGACTCGCCGAACTCGAGACACTTATAGCGCTGCAAAATGTGAAGGGCGTCGTGGTTCCCGTAGGATTCGGAAAAGTGAACCCAGCTGTCTTGTAAGTTTATTTTCTAATTTGTTTCGAGCTGCAATAATCAATTTTCTATTTATATATCGTTCGTTTTATTAATTTTTTTACAATAGTATATTCCTAAGTGCATTCGCTTACATGCAGAACTTTCTCTTAAACACATTTAATGCGGTAAAAAAAATGCTACCAATAACATTCTAACATTAAAATCATCCATTTGAAATTCGCCAAATAATTAATAATTGTGATTATCATTTAATCTCGTTTGCGTAACACAGACGAGATTAAATGATAATCGCTAGGAAGTTAATCATACGATAGGAAGTTATGATAAGAATTATGTCATTATTTTAGATATGTTCTTAAACGTGATCACTTATATGCAGAACATTTATTCACACTTATTTTACGAAAGCAAAAAAAAACACTGTTGATAGTAAAATTAAAATTGTCTATACTCAATGTCTAAAAAATCTAATTGACATATTATGACAAAATATAAGCGACTTATTTATAATTACATATTTTTATTAGTTGACATCTTTTAATAGAAATAAATTTAATTTTATTTAAAATTTAAATTTCACATTGTGAAGGATATCGAAAATGAACTAATAGAAAAGTTAAAATGTTTATATATTCTTGTGTTATTATATTCATACGAGACAAATTTATAAAAAATTGTTTTTGCAAAGAACATTGTCTTTTCTTAGTAATACTGATTTATTCACAAACTTTGTCATTGTACAAAATTGTCTGTTTATTGAAATTCACGAACTTCTATTTTTGCGCCATCATAATACAAACGAGATTAATTATTAGTAATGGAAAAATTATAATTTCCTTGTGACTCTCGAAATAAAGTAATGAAATTAAGGCAAATAAGAGTGTAACACAGTTGTTGGAGCATGATTAAATAATACTGTTGTTTCCTGCAGTATTTACTTGAATATATATTTCAATACAAATGTTTCGACTCTTTTTGAGTTATCAGCGATACACAGTTCTTCAAATCTGTGACACTTCCCTCATACATCATAGATTAATTATAATTAATAATTGTATGATTAGTTATGTCTCACGACAAAAATTATATTAATTTTATTAATTTTTCACGTATATTTTTAACATAAACGCAAATGCTTACACGTGAAACTTTTCCTTAAAGGAATACTGGAATTAAAAAAACATACGAAATACGATGAAGCGCGCATTTCGTACGTTTTCATTAATTTCGTTTTTCTTCTACAGAATAAAAAATCCTTCTCTAGAATAAAAGAAGAAAAACACAAATAGCTGTGGAGAAACTACAAATTGAGAATTAAAAAAAAATTGCAAATTATAGTTTTCTATTATCACGTAGGTCACTTATTCCTTACATGCATATAAATGAATTCAAGTGTATATATATTCGTATATATATTCAAACAAAGGTATATATACTTTCCCACATTTGAATAATGTATAAGAATATAATGAGACCTTCAAATTATTTTTTAAGCTTATAAGAGAAATGAATTGAAAAGTTGATGTGAGTGTATATAACCTACACTCATGCAATGTATAGGACATAGCCGGATCAAGAATAACGTAATAATAACGTTTTTTACTTAATGTGCCATTAAAGATTTCATCTACCGCAGTTGCACTTGTTGCTTCTTAAATTCTTCAAATCTTTAAGTAACTTATATACGGTATGGCAGCTAAAGGACTGTATAAAATACAGAAATAAAACAAGAAGTGAAAAAGCAAATGATAAGAGAAAAGGCGCTTCTAACTCTCATATTAAAAAATTAATGCAAAACAAATAACGCTTTGAATATTCAATATTTTCATTTCCCCAGCATATGAGAGACAACTTGGGAGCATTCTTAAGACGTTCAAAGGATATCCTTTGAACATCTTTAAAATTTCTTAAAGGTCTGTGTTGTATAAATTCTTAAAAAAGTAATCTTCAATATTCTTGGGTATTCTTAGAGAAATATTTTAAGCTCTGTAGAAAATAACGGTACAACAGTACGACAATAAACTTTTTTAATTGGTAATTAAATTAGTAATAGTGTCCCATTCATATCTCGCGACATTGATACGCGTGCTATAGATTTCAGCAGGAAAAATTGAAAAAAGAGACAACGAAGCACTTTGACAAATACGCTTACAAATTGTAATGCAACGACGTCTGCTGAATAACATAATTGCATCGAGAGACGACTAGTAAAAGAGAAAAGAGAAAAAGAATAAGGAAAAGATGTGATCGTGACGAATGAAGATGAGAAGAACGCAACGGTGGTAAATGGAATCTCTAACTAGGTTACTTCTCTTTCAATGCTTCGTGAATAAATTCCTATCCGGATGCTGTTCCCACTCGCGTCGTTTCTGTGAAAAGGGACCTTGTGGAACTATGATATATCGCACTGTTCTCTCTGCGTTGTAATTGCGCGTGAATTAATTGACGATATTTACGATGTCAATGATATTCAACGTCGTATATGTAATTAACAAGGAACATGAATATTGTCGAGCGATCGTATCACCGTGTACTGACACTGCTCGTCGATTGACAAACCGGTACTCGAAACTTGACTTTTCGATCTCATGCCTTCGAGTATTGCGTGATTATACAGCTGAAATATTGGAATGTACCAAATAATGTACTACTGTGATCAAAAAGTAAGGTGAATTTTGTTATAAAATAAAAAATCTTTATTTATTCATCCAAATCAATTTGATCCCCTTCAAAGTAATCCCTCTCCGATACAATGCACTTATGCCAACGTTTTTTCCATGCCTCGAAGCATGCCAAAAAGTCGTTTCCCGGTATAGCCTTCAAAGCGCGCAGCGATTCACGTTGAATCTCTTCAATAGATTCAAAGCGGTGTCCCCGGAGCGGTTTTTTGAGTTTGGAAAATAGCCAAAAGTCACACGGAGCTAAGTTAGGTGAATAAGGCGGTTGCGGAACGATATGAGTGGAATTTTTGGCGAAAAACTCACGAAGAATCAATGCCGTGTGAGACGGCGCATTATCGTGATGCAAAAACCAGGAATTGTCTTTCCATAAATCCGGCCTCTTCTTGCGAATAGCTTCACGCAAACGACGCATAACACTCAAATAATATTTCTTGTTGACAGTTTGGCCCGGCGGAAGGAACTCATAATGCACAACACCACGATAGTCGAAGAAAACTGTCAGCATAACCTTGATTTTTGAGCGACTTTGGCGCGATTGTTTTGGTCTTGCCTCGCCTTTAGCACGATATTCACTCGATTGGTCGGTTGTTTCCGGATCATAAGCATAGATCCAAGTCTCATCTCCCGTAATAATGCGTTCGTAGACGTCCTGATAGTCACAAATCATCTCTTTACAAACTTTAACGCGACGCTCTTTTTCGAAGAAATTGAGTGTTTTTGGCACCAAACGAGATTTTACTTTTCTAAGGCCCAAGTGATCCTTCAAAATTGTTTGAACTGAACCAAATGAAATGCCAACCATATCGACAAGGTCTCTAATTGTCAATCGACGATTTTCGAGCACCAATTCCTTGATTTTCTTCACGTGTTGCTCATCAATTGACGTTGATAGTCGTCTGGGGCGTTCCAAGTCATCCAAGTACGTTCTCTGCCTTCTTTAAAGTCTTTGTACCACTTATAAACATTTTTCTGCGACATAGTCGATTCTCCGAAGGCCCTCTGCAACATTCTGAACGTTTCCGCAGCCAAAATTTCATTCCGCAAACAAAATTTAATGGCACTTCTTTGCTCAGCAAAATCAGACATTGTAAAAATCGCCAAAATCACTTTTAGTCGTTTAGAAAACACAAGCGTAACTATATGACTAATGATGACATTGACATGAAATTTGCCACAGATGTGTAACAGTAGTACCAACATAAAAATAAAAAAGTTTGCACGAATCGATTAGCGCGGGAAGTTTAAATTAAAAATTCACCTTACTTTTTGATCACAGTAGTATACGAACTATGACCGTACTCGCAAACACGTATAACTTCGTCGCATTTTCGTATGGTATTTCCACTTGGCAACCCCCACAATCTTACCTCGATTCTCAATAGGTTAACATTTATCCCAGATTATCGTAACATTCCTCTGAATTCTAGTTAGGCGCCAGGCACGAGAGAATGTGCCCCACTCTTCAATACTTTAATTCAAACAGTTCTCGACTACTTTTTATTGGAATGCACGAAATTCGATCGCTTAGTCACTTAGAATTGGTAGAGGAGGCGGTTCTCTCGAAGCGGAAATAAGTCGAAGGGCGAACGAAAAAAAAATATAAGACTCATACATGAATTAATAATAAAGAGAAATAACAACGTATACTTGCCACTTCAGTAGTGCCTTAAGGAATACAGATCAGTCGTGGACTACGCAACGGACACGGCAGTCGTCTCACATATTTTCGAATATCCAGAACTGGCAAAATTTTGCCTAATCCAATTATAATAAAATTGGTTTTAAATTTTAACTAAAGTGAAAAATCTATATTGAAATCCATAAACGGATTTTACTATTAGTTTACTATTTACTATTATTAAAGCTTATAAAACATGTAAATAAAAGTAATATGATTGTAAATTATAAAACAAAAGTTATTTATTCATATTATTTATGTTTAATACTTTTCTGTATAAGGACGGCATTTTTGATGTTACATATTATATATTATATAATATATAAAATAATATTATAATATATTAGAATATATAAAATATATAAAATAAAAATATTTTGAAAAATATTTGTGTGAAAATTTAAGAATGTTTATTTATTTACATATCTATAAATCTTAACGAGCTTATCAACTTTTTCTGGAGCCAATGAATTTCTGAACTTATTGTAAACATGACCAAATATAGAGAAAATTCTCTCTATACTTGCTGATGTAGAGCTAAAGAGATTTGTCATAAAAATGTCAACTTTTTTAGGACCATTATCATTAAATGTAGAAACAAAGAAGGGATAATGAAAGTAGTAGTGAAGTAATGAATACCGCGTTTATTCGCGGTACTTCGTGCGAGAATAAAAATCGTTTATTACCAATTCGAATGAATTAATTACGCATAGACGTTTCGACTTGCCTTCAAGCCATTATCAGTATGTCTAAACATTTATTGCAATTCTTTATCTCCTTCACGGCGAGACGGAAGTGTGACGACTCATTCTCCTTATTCTATTGACACAAAGTTGGCAAGTCCATTATATTCATTCGAATTGGTAATAAACGATTTTTATTCTCGCACGAAGTACCGCGATAAACTCTCATTAGCTCTTCTTTTTACATTTGACATTCTCGAGAGTTGTTACTTGTTTTATTTGTGTTACTTGTTTTATTTCCATTATCATTATTTATTTTATTGCATTTATTAGCTAAAATATCCACCCGTTTCGCTAGACTGCAGAGCCATATTTAAATTTTTTTCTGCCAAATTTTTTGATTTCGTGCAAAAACGCTTCGAATGAGCATAATTTCATCGAAATTGAAGGTGAGGGGTGCCTTCTGGAAAATTATTATGGTTTTAACCAGAGAAAAACTGGATAAAACCTGTTATATAACCAGTAAGTTGGGTTTAATGTGAAAAATCCAGATTTTTGTCAGTCCTGACGAATACTACTCTACACGCGTTAACAAAACGAATGTTCGGATTTCGGTGTAATATGAGCTCGCAAGGCTGGAACAATCTGATCTTTCGACGTAGAGGTACAATTAACGCTAAAATAGATTTCAATTCGCCGATCGAACTTAACACTGAAGCTCGCCGGAATACACCGGCAAAATCGCATACAGATGATATTCGGATTCTAATGCGGAATTATTCGGTGGCAACTAATTGTTTCGACAATGCAAAATCCATGAAAATTATAGCTTAAAGTGCATCTTAAGATGATGGATGAATAAACAATTACACGCAAAAAAAACGACATACGATGATTTGGCTGTGGCGAGAGAAGGACAAGCATAATGCGAAAGTACCCTACAATACTTGTGGCGATCTTATAGTAAAAGTCCGCTACGACCACGACCACAATATTTGTCGTTCCACTAGCTTGCGGGCTTTGCGGGTGAAATCTTAAGTAGAACGAATTTTGTGTGTGAAGAATAGTCTCTGTAACATGGATGCTATTAAGGTGATTGTACTACGCTGTAGAAAATATAAATCTGAAAACTCATCGAGTTCTGATGGTGACTGAGAAGTAGTGTTTATCTCTTTCCGGATCATACAAATAATAAATACTTTTTCATGTTAAAAATTTTGCAATACCGGAAACAAAACAAAATGTCTGCGCAAAGGGATAGCAGACGATTAGAGTTAATATAAAGAGATTGGCGTCAATGCATGCGCCTAATGTTGATTGACTTCACCATTAAGTGTCCTTACTGTTAGTTGGAAAAAAGACAACATTAAAGAAAGAAGAGGTTAAAAGGAAAATCATAGATAGAACATAAAATGGCGACTTCCGGCTAATTGGAGCTCACTCACTTTATATCCACTCTACAAACAACGAAACGACCACGCCGACCCACGTAAGAACCATAAAACGATCATGATTAATGACGGTTATTTATGACGTTTTGATCGCGATCACAACGATCACCGTCGTTATGTGGAACGAATTTGCAGGCACTGCGAGCGTTGCGGATGTTAAATGGAACGTGCCTCAAACGGCACGCGGCATCCAAATTACTCGCTACTCACGTTAGCTTCAAATTCAACACGTGCAATTCGCCCAATCTCGCAATGGAATCGGCGGCCTTACAATATTTCAATGCTTGTCTCACCGGTACATTCTCCTTTTCTGTTCCTCCGTAGCCATCACTCTCTCGATAATGCACAGGATCCTACCTCCTCTCTTATCGAGATCCTTTCGTACCACAACGCAAGTGATTTCCGTATTCTCGGCAGTTCTTTAAACGCGAAGTTCTTCAGGATCGGGGTCGTCCCGGCGCCTGATTGGCCGATAACCGACTCGCGCGATCCTACGAATCACGTGAGCCACGTAACTTCGCGTGACCCGGCGCGGAATCTGAATTTCCATCCATTTCAGGGCAGCCTTTTGTCAATAAAATCTTATTTCTCTCCAGTTTAATATTCTCTCCAGAATAGATCCTAGATTCGTTATTGAAATTAAATGACACCGGAACCATTCGGATCATATTGATTTGCGGATTGACCATATTGAGCGATGTCCTTTGAATTGTATCATGCATATTGTATGTAAGATGCGTTCTGTAAATTCTGACATTAGATTATAGTCGTCCACGCGCTTTTTATTTTTTTATTGGAACAAGTATATTAATTTATCCATGGCTGAAGAGGGCTAAGTAAAGTTCGAAATTAAAATATCATATTTTATTTAGATATTATGTGAAATAATAAACTGAATTGTATTATTATCTGTCTAAGTCCTTGGCTCGTTTTTTAAATTGTTAACCTTGACTAGATTACTTATATTGCTTTCCACATATACGAACGAATATTTGTTTTTAAATACTATTGAATAGATCCTATTTTACGCTGTAAGTCTTGATGGAACCTTAAGTCACCGTGGTTTGTCTGGCTGACTATTGTCTGTTTCCACCAATGTAGATTAATTTCAATTTACTCTTCATCTTTTTTTAATTCTAAAGATTAGAAAAAGACAAAGAATAAGTTGAACCGAGATTAAAGTTAATCTACATTGATAAAAATGGGCATATTTCAGCTGTTCCACTGTGCTTTCGTGTAATTCTTTCTGAACGAGCTTGCTTCTCGCGCTGCTTTTCCATGTAAGAGACTTTCGCTCTAAAGCTCCGGTATCCGTTAAATTTTCTCTGTAAGAATAGAGTCGGCACTAAAAGAGTGCAAACAGCGAACGTAAATAGGAAAGATACAATTTACACTTTCCACTTTAATACAATTTCTTGAATTAAATCGTTTAACTTTATTGTTTTAGTTAAATTAGCGATATATTGAGTAAAAGCAGGAGCGATGTATATAGAAATAATTAAAGCCTTGTGTCCATGCTCGGAGAAAGAATTGACCAATTGTATTAGTCATATGATCGAATTATTCAAGTGTGATTTGTTAATTGTCTATCTGTGGGAGATCTCGAAGCGATTTTTAACATCCTGTAGACTACATAAGTCTTAAGAATAATAAATTAAGTAAAAGATGCTATGAATTTAATAGTATACTTATAGCTATTGTATTTCAATAAATAATATATGTTATATATATA